CGCCCCATCCCACTCTCTGCATGGCAGAGTGGCTGGACCCCGAGCCCCCCTCCCCGACACCACAGCACGACACCCACGATGCCCCAGTGCGTGCCTCTAAAGGACCCTTCTTTCTGAGACGTAGCTGTCATACCGACATCACACCCCAGAAAAGCAGTAGCTGCCAGCAACCTGTGACATCCGGAGCGCTGCCTCTGCCCGCGGCCGCAGAGGCGTCTGCTCCAGCTGCTCGAATCGGGATCCAAGCCAGGTCCACAGCCCGCAAACGGCTGATGACTCTCTCACGTTTCTGTTCGTCCTCAGGGTCCCCTTCTCTCTCTTTTTACTTGGAGATTTGTTCTTTTTTTTTTTTAATACAAACTTTCTTATTTATTTATTTATTTATTTTTGCCATTAGCATGTTCATTATTACATATCATGATTTGGAGATTTGTTCTTGAAGAGCCTCGATTGCTCCGCGGTTCTCCCTCTTGAGGTTGTGCTGGGTGCTTCCCAGGGGCCGGTGCTGTCTTTCTCGCTGTACCCAAGTCCCCTTTCACGTCCTGTCTGTAAGTCCCCACCAGCGCAGGAGTCTGCAGGGTTGGTCTCTTACAATCACGTCCCGGCACCTAGAACTGAGACCCCACTCGCTGGGTGCTCACCAACACCATTCAGTGAGGGGGGCTCCATTGGGGACATCTGCATAGCCGGACGATGACCCCCTCCCCAGGTGACCCAGCTGAGGGTGTTTGTGTCTGTGCTGGATGTCAACGACAACCCCCCGGTGTTCGCCTTCACCACGAAGGAGAAGGCCGTGGAGGAGGTAAGTTGGGGGAGGCCAGGGCCGTCTGGGCTGGGGTCTGGGGACTGCGAGTCCAGGCTGAGGGGCTCGAGGACAGAGGACTAGTGACCCATCCTCCTCTGCCCCCAGGACACCAAGGTGAACTCTACCGTCATCCCTGAGGAGGAACTGGAGGCCGAGGACCGCGACAAGGACGACATCCTGTTCTATACCCTCCAGGAAGTGACCCCGGTCAGTGCCGCCGCGACCCTGGCCCCGCACTGGCCCGCACAGGCCTCCCTGTCCTCCCAGGGTCTCACACTGTGCTCTCCCCTCCCCAGGGCGTCAGGGACTTCTTCTCCCTGGTGGGTGCAAACCGCCCCGCCCTGAGGCTGGACCAGCGTCTGGACTTCTACAAGTGGCCGAGCGTGACCTTCCTGCTGCTGGTGCGGGTGAGCAGGTCACTCTGGCCCTGAGCCCTGGAAACGGGAGGCCCCAACCGCGCTGCCCCCGGGCCTGATCCGGCAGCGGCCGGCTGTTCCAGGACACCCGGGAGGAGAACGCAGAACCCAGCCACACGGCCACGGCCACCGTGCTCCTGGAGGTGCTGCCCGCCGACCTGCGGCCCCCTTGGTTCCTGCCCTGCTCCTACTCGGATGATCACGTCTGCATCGAAGCCCAGTACCACGGGGCTGTGCCCACGGGACAGCAACTGGTAATGGGGAAGGGAGGGCAGTGCGCGGGGAGCAGGCTCTTCTAGGCAAAGGCCACCCAGGGTCAGGCTCAAGTCTAAGCTAGGGCAGATGCACCAGCCGCACCATGTCCCTTCTGCTCCACTGTCCCCGCAGCTGCAGCCCCTCATCCTGCGCCCTGGGCCCGTCTACGCTGTGGATGGAGACCGAGGCATCAATCAGCGCATCCTCTACAGCATTTTAACAGGTGACTGAGGACCAGCCCTCGGCCCCACACACTAGACCTCACCCCGAGCCTCACCTTGCGTTGAGGAAGCCCCAGGGGGACCTGCCACATGGGCAGAGCCAGCTGGGAGCTTGGGCCTCAGCAGGAGGGGACCAGGGGCTGAAACTCCCACCCATCCTCCCAGGAAACGTGAACAACACATTTGTCATCGGTGCAGACTCAGGCAATCTCACCATGAAAAGTAGTGTCCCCAGCCCCATGACCTTCCTTCTGGTGGTGAAGGTGGGTGTCAACACAGGGTGGCCGGGCAGGGGTCCCTTGGCCAGGTCCTCACTGACCCTTCCCAAGCTCACAGCCATAGCACCAGCCTGACCTTCAAGCACCCGCTGGTCACTGCTGCTTCCGCCACCCCCCAGGGCGAGCAGGCCGACTTTGCCCGCTATTCGGTTACTCAAGTGACAGTGGAGGCCCGCGCTGCCAACGGGAGCCTGCCCCACTTCCCCCAGAGCCTGTACCACGGCACCGTGGTGCTTGGCTCTGGAGCAGGCGTGGCAGTCAAGGACGCAGATGACCCCTCTCAGCCTCTGAGGATCCAGGCTCAGGACCCAGAGTTCCCGGTACGTGACACCACTGGTCCCTGGGTCTGCTTGGGTTTGGGATGGACGCTGAAGGCAGCCCTTGCCCAGGGCTCACTGTGGCCATGTCTAGGACCTCAACTCTGCCATCATGTATCAAGTCACCAACCACTCATACTTCTGGATGAACGGGGAGACCATGCTGACCACCACGACCCTGACAAGAGCAGAAGTCTTCTATGCAGAGGTGAAGGGCGGGGCAGGGGTCCCTGAGAGTGGGGGCTTAAAGAGGGGCCTAGGAGGGACGAGCTCCCTTCCTTGCCTGCAGGTTGAGGCCAAGAACACAGTGACCTCGGGCACAGCAACCACAGTTGTCGAGATACAAGTTTCAGAGAAGGAGGTCCCCTCCACAGGTGAGCCTCTGGGGATCCCCCAAATGAGCCCCTTTGGGGTCCCCCCGGGCAGGGTGGCTCCTTCCATGGGGTTGGTAGGCTGGGAACAGAAGCAAGCCCAATGCTGTCCCTGGCCCCCAGGGCCCTCCACATCCCCAGAGGCTGGAGGAGCAACTGGGCCCACGAGGAGCACCATTTCGGAAGCCCCCAGACCCCCAGGGCCTTCTCAGGGACCCTCCATGACTGCCTCTGGCGGGAGCACTGGTCCTCACCCACCCTCAGGCACAACTTTGAGGACACCTGTGTCACCCACCCCTGGGGGGCCCCCCAGTTCAGGAACCAGCACCTCCCCTCCACCAGCCACACCAGGTGGGGGCTCAGCACAGACGCAGAAGCCAGGAACCTCTCAGCCGACGCTCCCTGGTTCCAGCAGGAGCCCCCCACCCTCAGGTAGCACCCCACCCCTTTTCCTGGAGCGCTTGCTGACTCAGGACGCCGGGTGGTCTGGGGAAATGCTGTACAGGACAGGGTCTGCCTCGGGCTGACCTGGCCTGGCCATGCTGACCGTGAAATCCCAAGGAGGGAGGCTGTTCTGATCAGACCGAGACAGTTCCAGGTGTGTGGGGGCAGGAAAGAGGCCAGATGTGGGATCCCGCAAACCCCACAATTCCCAGGGCCATTCACCCCACTGGTTCCCAGTGCCCTTGTGCCCTCCCATTGCACGTCCCGCCTGGTGTTGGCAGCACTGGCCTGTTCCTCTCCCTGCCTTCACCAGCCTGGCCTCCCCAGGGGTCCCACGGGCTCTTGCTGGACACACAGCTCTGTAGTGCCCGCTCCCCAGAACCTTGGCTCAGAAGATGGCTCAGGCCTGGCCTGTCCTCAGGGTGTCCCAAGCCCGGCGTAGGTCAGCATGGGAAATGCTTGGCGTGTTCTAGTGGCAAGTGGGCGATGGTGTCTCTGGCAGGGATGCCGGCAGAAGGCCTCGCCCAGGACCGGCGCTTCTCAGTGGTGGACATGGCGGTCCTGGGCGGGGTGCTGGGTGCGCTGCTGCTGCTGGCCATCACTGGGCTCACGGTCCTGGTCCACAAGCACTACTGCCACCAGCTCGGGTGCTGCTCCCGCAAAGCTCCTCTGGTGAGGCCCTCAGCAGGACGGGCCAAGTGCGAGAGCAGAGACTGCACAGGGGGGCTGGAGAGCGAGGGGAGGACAGGCGAGGACAGGCACCAGGGGCGGGGGATGGGCTGGGGGCAGGACAAGACCAGGCCGAGAGAAGGGGAGCTGGCCTGGCGGGG